AACACAGACAGGGCCAGCCACTAGAATATACATTGGGAGCAAACCCCCACTCCCTTTTAGCACTGATGATGTTACCTAGTTGGGTAATGAAACGTCTGCAAGAAAACCACCCAGCTCGGAGACCACCAAATTCCCTTCATTTCAGTCCTGAGTTACCAATATTCTCCTTTATAGATGCAGAATTTTGACTGAAGTGTTGCTATAACTGGGTGATGAAATGACTTGCCTTAAAGCAGGGGTAGGCAATCGTAGCCTTTTATGACTCGTGGACTTCAACTCCCAGAATTCCTGAGCCAGCCACGCTGAGGGGAAAGAGAGGTTTCCAAGCTGAGCCAGGCTGGTTCAGGAATTCTGGGAGTTGAAGTCCACAAGTCAGAAAGCGGCCTAGGCCTAGGCCAGAGGTACGCAACCCTGGCTCTTTGATGACTTGTGGACTTCAACTCCCAGAATTCCTGAGCCAGCCACGCTGAGGGGAAAGGGAGAGGTTTCCAAGCTAAGCCAGGCTGGCTCAGGAGTTCTGGGAGCTGAAGTCCATGAGTCATAAAAGAGCCAAGGTTGCCTACCCCTGCCTTAAAGTATTTGTCTCTCTCCGAACAGACTAAACAGATTTAGCCCATTATCAATTTAATCTTGACAGGGGCACATAAATATGATCTTGGGTAGCTGTCAACTTCTAATGAGGAAGACTTGGCAACTAGAGTCTGGAATGAAATTGGATGATCCGTAGAATAGTTTTGTAGGCAGGCACGCGATACAGCACTACAGTTGCATCAACTGTGGGAAATCAGCACCGTCTCATCCCAGCGACAGAAAACGTAATCCTGCTTAGAGGCCTAGAAGCAGACAATCCCCACAACTTGAAATAATCCTGTAATACTGGATTATTTGTTCAAGTTGGAAGAAAATAGCCATGTAAATCTGAATCTCTGAATATATGAAGGTGGAATCTCTCAGAGTGCATAAAAGTCAACTAATTATTACCTCTAGAAGAGGAAGAGTTTAGAGTTACATGGAAAAACTTGCACAAGATCCACAGAAATTGAAAAGGGCCTTGCTAGGAATCTCTACTATCATATGGGGCACATTTATGAATTTTTAAGATTTGAGATAATGAAAATGAACCAATCGTGAGCATTTCTCTTGGAGTAGAATATCATAGAATAGAGCTGGAGGGGACCTTGGAGGTCTTCTAGTCCAGCCCTCTGCTCAGGCAGGAGACCCTATGCCATTTCAGACAAGTGGCTGTCCAGTCTGGTGGTAGATCTGAATTATTTAACATGCCTGTCTAGATCAGTGGTTCTCAACCTTTTTAATGCCACGACCCCCAACCGGTTGTAAGTTGAGGACTACTCAACCGGTCGTAAGCCGAGGACTACTCAACTGGTCCAGCACCATTTGCAGAATGGGACTTTTGGCGGGCTCAGCAGGGCAGAGACAGCCTGGACAACTCCTATTGGCTTTGGAAAGCCAATAGAATTAGACTCTATTCAAGAGAGTCTATTCTATTGGCTTTCAAAAGCCAATAGGATAAAAGGGAGTAGCACAGCTAAGGAAAAGGGGAAAAAAATGGCGGACTGCGTTGTTTGGCGACCCCCGTGAAATGGTCGTTCGATCCACAGGTTGAGAACCACTGGTCTATATGATGGAAAGACTTAAAACCATTATTTGTTAAGGTGACTAAATGACCGCCTGATTTTATGACTATTTTTGTGGCAGTCGTTAAGTGAGCAACTTAACTAAACCAGGAGGAAACTAGTAGGTTTAAATTGTTGTCTCAAAAACAAGAAATAGGGGAGACATGATACCAATATTCCAATATCTGAGGACTGCCACAAAGAAGAGGGGGGCAGGTTGTTCAAAGCTGATCAAAGAGAGAAGCAACCTGGAATTAAGGAGAAACTTCCTGACAGTGAGGACAATCAACCAGTGGAACAGCTTTTGCCTCCAGAAATCGTGGGAGCTCCATCACTGGAGGTTTTTAAGGAGAGACTAGACAATCACCTGTCTGAGATGGTATAGGTTCTCCTGCTTGAGCAAGGAGCTGGACTAGAAGACCTCCAAGGTCCCTTCCAGCTACAATCCCAATCACGCTATGTCTCATGGGTTTTGCTACCAAACAGCAAAATGATGTTGGATCAGAAGGGATCATTCTTAATTTCAGATTTAAGCTCTAAACCAGGTTTCCAAGTCCGTTAACTTAGTTTCCACATCTTTGGCAAAGATCCACACTAACTGGGAAACAAAAAACCCTTCAGGTAGAATTTAATGCTGTTTAGCATTTCCTCAAATGGCTCCTGTGCTAAAAAAAAAATTGTCTTCCAAAGAAGTTTTTTTGCTGATCATGTTCCTTCTTGAGCTGTTATTAGACATGCTACAGCAGGCACTGCTCCAATTTGGACTTGGTTATTAGCCCCCAATCTACAAAAATATGCCCAAAGCCACATTAGCTGGAGCAACCAGGGTAATTAATTCATGGGAAAATGAACACCGATATCTACCTTTTCTACTGACAGTAATGCATATGTACACAACAGAGGTCTTCTAGTCCAACCCCCTGCTCAGGCAGGAGACCCTATACCAGGGGTAGGCAACCTTGGCTCTTTTATGACTCGTGGACTTCAACTCCCAGAATTCCTGAGCCAGCCACGCTGAGGGGAAAGGGAGGTTTCCAAGCTGAGCCATGCTGGCTCAGGAATTCTGGGAGTTGAAGTCCACGAGTCTTAAAAGTTGCCACGGTTGAGGACCCCTGCCCTATACCATCCGAGACAAATGGCTGCCCAGTCTCTTCCCAAAAGCCTCCATGGATGCAGCACCCCCAACCTCTGAAGGCAAATTGTTCCACCGATAAAATTGTTCCCACTGTGAGGAAATTTCTCCTTAGTTCTAGATTGGATCTTTCCTGCTCCCTCCAGGGATTCCATCCCAGTGATTTATCATGCAATTTTTTCCCTTAGAAATAGGATGAAATTGGTTTATCATCCCCCCCCCCCCCAAATCTTGGACTTCTCAATTTAGTATACCACCCTAAGGTATCCTAGTAAGGCACTGCTAAGTCGTTCATTTAGTGACCGCTTGAAGTTATAACAGCACTGAAAACAGTGACCTATGACCATTTTTCACACTTGCGACCGTTTCGCTTCCCGTCCCCAAAGTTGAGCAGGTCAATAGTGCTATTAACGTCCACCTGAATCTAGCGCCACGCAAACAGTGCATCGGTTCCCCCCATAAACTATGCCGCAAATTGCACATTCCAATTTTAAATTTTATTACTTTTTTTGTTTTTTTACTTCAGTCAATAAGAGATTCTCTAAAGCAAAAAGTCGATATAAAATTGAGTGTATCTAATACAATGCATCTCTTGAAGCCGTTGGGGGGAATACTAGCTCATTCCAACTATAAAACTTTTTATTACCTACAAATCATCACGTTACCATCTCAAAATGGTGCCCCATCGAGTCCAGATTACAAAAATAATAAAAAAGGGTTTTTCTGTGTGTGTGAAAACAGCACGAAATATATATGTATATATATTTTTGCACTATGGGAATCAGTCTTTTAAAGTTTCCATTCCTCAAATGTCCTTGGTCAAAAAAGCTGATGCCGTCTCATCCCAGAAAACTGGAAAACCCTTCACATATTCCAACAACCCTGAGTATATAGTGCAATAAGTACAAAGGTCAGATTCATCCTCAACAGTCCGGCTGGCCACGTTTTAAAAAAGGAAAAAATAAAAAAATAAAGGGGGTGGGTAGGTGGGCGGGTGGAGAGGAAAGCAACAATCCCGGATTGGCATTTTATTGCGGCTAGGCCAGGGATAGGCAACTTTGGCTCTTTTATGACTAGTGGACTTCAACTCCCAGAATTCCTGAGCCAGCCACGCTGAGGGGAAAGGGAGAGGTTTCCAAGCTGCGCCATGCTGGCTCAGGAATTCTGGGAGTTGAAGTCCACAAGTCATAGAGCAGCCTAGGCCAGAAGTAGGCAACCCTGGCTCTTTTATGACTCGTGGACTTCAACTCCCAGAATTCCTGAGCCAGCCACGCTGAGGGGAAAGGGAGAAGTTTCCAAGCTGCGCCATGCTGGCTCAGGAATTCTGGGAGTTGAAGTCCTCGAGTCCTAAAAGAGCCAAGGGTCGCCTACCCCTGGGCTAAGCAAAAGGCAGTTCTTTGGAAGAAAGAGAAAGTTTAACGGTGCTTCCTTAGAAAAAGTGAGGTAGCCCAATGGGAAAGAAAGCGAAAGTCCAAGACTTCAGCAAGTTTGCATTATTATTATTATTATTATTATTTCCCTCCCTCCCCCCCCCCTTCGGGCTGGAACGCGATCCGGACGAACCGATTCCCCGTTTCTCTGGCTAGATTCGGCGGGCAAAGCCACCAGCGAAGGACGGGGAGACGAGGGGAAAAAAAACAACAACCAAAAAAAAGGGGGCGGCGGGTGGCAGCCCCCGTCTCGGCCCTTTTTAAAGTGCAGCGCCCGGTCTCTTCTAAAAAAAAAAAAAAAAAGGACGATGCCGTCCCAGCCCCAAAAACGAGGATGTGTAAACGGGCGGGCTGACACGGGTCTTCCTGGGTCTTCTGAAGCCGTCTCTCCTCTTTCTCTCTCCTCCCCTCTCCCCCTCCCCGGGCATGAGGAAGAGGCCCCTCTCAGCAGCAGGGCAGGCCCGGGATCCGGCGCAGCTTCACCACGGGCGTCAGGTTGACCCGCAAGAGGCGCTGGGCCCGGCGGCGGGCCGCTTCCAAGTCGCGCCGCTTCCAGATGTCGCCGCGCACCCGGACCGGCGGGAAGGAGGCCGCCGCCGCCGCCGCCGCTGCAGCCGCCCTCCGGCTTCCCTCGGGGGCGCCGCCGTCCCCCTCCAAACGCGTCCGTGGCGGGTCTGGCCGCCCCTCGCAAGCCCCGGGCTCGTCGGGGGCCGTCGGGGCCGCGCTCAGCCCGTCCTGCCGGCGCTTCTTGGCCGCTCGCTTGGCGCCTCCCGTTCGCCGGCTCTTGGCGTCGCTCCGCGGGCGTTTCCCCTTGTTGTTGGCGGCTCCTCCTTCTCTTCTGCCGCCGCCGCTGGGCCCGGCCCCGGCCCGTGTCCCCGCCGCCCAGCCCCGGGGCAGGTCGGGCACGACGGCGCGGCACGAGGCGTAGCCGTAGACGTCCTTGCTGCGGAGGATGACCGGCGAGAACTCGTGCTTGAGGCTGCAGAGGAAGTCCCAGAGCTCGGCGTCGGAGCTCATGAAGGCCGTCGAGCGGGGCAGCAGCTGCTTCAAGGCGTCGCCCAGCGCTTTGGTGCCGCTGCCGAAGAGGGCCTGCGAGCGCGAGTGCACCACTTTCTCCGAGGCCGCCGGGCCGGAGCCCGGGGCGGCGGGCGGAGGCAGCCCTGCCGCCTTCCCTCCTCCTCCTCCGAGGCCGCCGCCTCCTCCCGCCGGCTTCATGCCGGCTCTAGCGCCACGGCGGCGGCGGCGGCTGGTGCTGCTGCTGCTGGCTCGCGGCCTCTCTCTCCAGCGCCGCCAGCGGCCGGCCAGCAGCTCCTGCGAGCTAGGACTTCGCAGCAGGAATATCAGCCCTCCTCCTCCTCCTCTTCTTCTTTTCCTCCTCCTCCTCCTCCTCCTCTTCTTCTCTTCCTCCTCCTCTTCTTCTTCCTCCTCCCCGCCGAGAGTCACTTTCTTTTCTTCCTTCGCCTTCTTGCTTTCTCTTTGGGGCGCAACTTCTGCGCTGCAACAGGGCGGGCGGAGGCGCCGAGCGATGCACGATGCACCACGCCCTCCTCCTCCTCCTCCTCCTCCTCTTCTTCTTCTTCCTCCTCTTCCTCCTCCTGCCCGACGGCCGGCACAAAATGGAGTTCTTTTTAAAGCCCCTGCGGGGAGGTTGCTGAGCCTCACGCCTATCTGGAGCCTTGGCTTGAGTGGATTGGCCCGTTTGAATTGCGTCACGGCGGAGAAGCCCCGCCCCTGGAGTAGCAGAGCCCCTCGGAAACTCCGAGGAGTAAGTAGGTGGTGGTTTGAAGAGGGTTCCGGAGTTACTGGCCAGCTTTGCTCAGCTTGGCTGGTTCTTCTTCTTCTCCTTCTCCTTCTTCTTCTTCTTCCTCTTCTCCTCCTCCTCCTCCTCCTTCATCTTCATCTTCTCCGCCTCCTTCTTCTTCATCTCCTCCTCCTTCTTCTTCATCTTCTCCTCCTTCTCCCCCTTCTCCTCCTCCTCCTCCTCCTTCTTCTTCTTCTTCCTCTTCTCCTTATCCTCCTCCTCCTCCTCCTTCATCTTCATCTTCTCCTCCTCCTTCTTCTTCATCTTCTCCTCCTTCTCCCCCTTCTCCTCCTCCTCCTCCTCCTTCTTCTTCTTCCTCTTCTCCTTCTCCTCCTCCTCCTCCTCCTTCATCTTCATCTTCTCCTCCTCCTTCTTCATCTTCTCCTCCTTCTCCCCCTTCTCCTCCTCCTCCTCCTCCTCCTTCTTCTTCCTCTTCTCCTCCTCCTCCTCCTCCTCCTTCTTCTTCATCTTCTCCTCCTTCTCCCCCTTCTCCTCCTCCTCCTTCTTCTTCTTCCTCTTCTCCTCCTCCTCCTCCTTCATCTTCATCTTCTCCTCCTCCTCCTTCTTCTTCATCTTCTCCTCCTTCTCCCTCTTCTCCTCCTCCTCCTCCTTCTTCTTCTTCCCCTTCTCCTTCATCTTCTCCTCCTCCCCCTCCTCCCCCCCAGGAGCCAGCAGAAGGCCTTCCTGGGAGGATGGGGACGTGGGGTCGCGGAGTGACCCTCTGGGGTTCCAACAAAGCAGGGAGATCTGGAGGGAGAGGCAGAAAACACCCTTCTGTTCCAGCTTGTGATTCCTAGGAAGTTGGAGGGGTTGGCTTTGGAGTCAACCTTGGGGGTTTTAGGTTCTGCCTCAATGAGGCCTAAGCTTCGCTCTGTTCCAGGGGTCTCCAAACTGGGCGACTTTAAGACTTGTGGACTTCAAACTCCCAGAATTCCCCAACCCAGTCTCCAAACTTGGCAACTTTGTGGACTTCAACCCCCAGAATTCCCCCAGTCATGCTTAAGTCTTAAAGTTGCCCATTTTGGAGACCCCAAGTGCTCTACTCCGGGGCACTTTCTGTGCTGAGAGAGCCATCTAAGACCAAGGTGTAGCCAGTCCAAAGTAAATTAGGAGTGCCCAGCTAATTCACTTAGAACAAGGGTGTCAAACTGCAGGCCCGCGGGCTGGTTGCCTCATGCGGAGGCCTTGCTCACTCCAGCTCCGGCAGTGGAAAAAAAAAAAGTTGCAATACGTCGCAACACGTCACACGACGCGGCGGGTTTGACACCTTTGACTTAGAAGACTTATTTCGGAAGAACGCAAACTTTGTTTCAAAATGCCCTGGCACGGGACATAGGTACAGCGTGTTCTTAGGATTACAACTAAGCCTTATCAATTCTGACAGCTCTTTGGTGGGTTATAAATTAACTCCTGGACTTGAACAGACTTTAAGGCTGTGTATAATTTGGAATTGGGGCTGTGGAATTGCACTCCATGCTACTTCGAACGTAACATTTCCTTTCCCAGATAACTCAACATCTCAATCTGGGTGAATCTGAGGATATACTTTGTCAACTGCAAATTAGAAGACTGTCTCCATGATGCATGTTCAATAAGTTTTAAGCTCTTTGGTGTTGCAGTGTTTCATGGACTTGCCCCCCCCCCCCACAAAAAAAAATCATCCTAGGTCAGGGGTAGGCAACCTTGGCTCTTTTATGACTCGTGGACTTCAAATCCCAGAATTCCTGAGCCAGTATGGAGAAATTATGGGCCCTTCATGACTCGTGGACTTCAACTCCCAGAATTCCTCAGCCAGCATCGCTCAGCTTGGAAACCTCTCCCTTTCCCTTCAGCGTGGCTGGCTCAGGAATTCTGGGAGTTGAAGTCCACGAATCATAAAAGAGCCAAGGTTGCCTACCTCTGGCCTAGGCCTAGGCCCCTTCAAGACTCATGGACTTCAACTCCCAGAATTCCTCAGCCAGCATCGCTCAGCTTGGAAACCTCTCCCTTTCCCCTCAGCGTGGCTGGCTCAGGAATTCTGGGAGTTGAAGTCCACAAGTCATAAAAGAGCCAAGGTTGCTTACCCTGTCCTAGGTCTTTCCTCAGCTATCCCTTTACCGGATCCGTTGAAGGTCGGGATTTCAGCCAACATGTCTTCCTTCCTCAGGAAGATCTTTCTTAGGTATGGCTTAATATAATAATCTTCTGTTCCTGTTTGCTCCACTGGATAATCCAGATAATCCACAAGAAAGTTCATACTGACCTTATTGAGATTATAACATACAGTCCTAGGGCTGGACGGGACCTCGGAGGTCTTCCAGTCCAACCCCCTGCCCAAGGCAGAGCTTACACCAGGGGTAGGCAACCTTGGCTCTTTTATGACTGGTGGACTTCAACTCCCAGAATTCCTGAGCCAGCCACGCTGAGGGGAAAGGGAGAGGTTTCCATGCTGAGCCATGATTTAGGAAAAATCAAATGCAACGATACAGGACTGCTGCACCTAGTTTACACCTGAGAAGGATCTAGAGTCTGGCCTATCAATAGACCACCAGCTGAACAGGAGCAAGCAGTGTGACAACAACTGAAAAGGTTATTGGAATCCTATGCGTTAGTTCAGTAGAAGTATTGCATTACTCCAGAAGCAGTAAATGCTCCAACACTGGAAGTTTTTAAGAAGAGACTGGACAGCCATTTGTCTGAAATGGTGTAGGGTTTCCTGCCTGAGCAGGGGGTTGGACTAGATGACCTCCAAGGTCCCTTCCAACTTTACTACTATTACTAAAAGGTAACAGGAGACAATACTTCCATTGTATTCTATACTGTTTATAACACACTGTGTTCAATTCTGGGCAAAGACAGTTTAAAAAGGACTTCGAGAAGTTGGAACAGGTCCAGATGACTGCAAATAGAATGGAATAGAATCTGGAAGGGACTTTGGAGGTCTTCTAGTCCAGCCCCTTGCTCAAGCAGGAGAACCTATACCTATACTAGGATGAAAGCGGTTTGGAAGGGACGGTTAAAGGTGTAGGAGAAGGAATGGCAGAACTGGGGGGAGAGTTAAAAGGGATCAGCCTAGAATCCCTACATAGCCACAAGCAAGTCTAATTTCGTTTGAGTACTACTGGGCCAGTAGATAAGGGCCTTATCTAACTTAACCAGGTGCTGGTTAAGTTGAGAAAATTCCTGTATATAGGCTTGTAGTAATATGTTTTACTGAACCTTCATGTGTGGATCTTTCAGGCCTAAAAAAAGGATGGACATACTCAACTTGCAAAGGTCAAAAGAATTTGACAAGTTAATAGCATATTAAAAAAATACCGTAGCATAGTTTACGATGTTCATCAATTCAATCAAACTGCGACTGGTTTTACAAGCAACGTAGCATATTTTGGCTCTGTTTACAGGAACCGAATCATCCTGGTCTGATAATAACAGCTAAACCTAGAAAAATGAGAATTATCTGGGTCCTTAGTGAAATAAGGAGTTACAAGGCAGGTCCTTGCATCCTTATAAAAATGTAATATAAAAATGAACAAACTGTCGATTCCATAAAGCCTTCAGATTGTAAAAGAAGAAGAAAAAGAAGAAGAAGAAGAAGAAGAAGAAGAAGAAGAAGAAGAAGAAGAAGAAGAAGAAGAAGAAGAAGAAGAAGAAGAAGAAGAAGAAGAAGAAGAAGAAGAAGAAGAAGAAGAGGAAGAAGAAGAAGAAGAAGAAGAGGAAGAAGAAGAAGAAGAAGAAGAAGAAGAAGAGGAGGAGGAGGAGGAAGAAGAAAGCAGCTAAGGAAGAGAACATAAAGGCCTACAAATTTCTAGAAAAAAAATAAATCCTTGTCACTGTCATGGGTGGAACTTATTCTCTGTTGAAAATGAGAACAGGACAGTAAAATTGCTGAAATTAAAAGAATGGAAATTCAAATCGGGAATTTCTGGTTGCAGGAGTTGTTAAGCAATGGAACCTTCAGTCTGGATCATTGGTAGCTTCTCCTAAGAGTTGTAGGTTCACAAAGGGGTTGGAAAGTCACTTATCAGTTTTGGGTTTGGTCGATTTCTGCACAGAGCAGAAGGCTGAACTAGATAGGTAGCCTACAGTTCTTTCCTCCTATTATCTTTGGGCCCAACAATGTATAATTACTAGGGCTTTGTAGTCTAGAAGGTAAGTGGGATCAATAAAGATAATAAAAGTATGGTTGGCATGGAATTATGGCCTCAAAATGGCGGAATATGAGGGTTATCTAACAGTAACAATGGGCAGCTGGTTCAAGATAAAGGAACTGCCATTTCATTCTGCTCCTAGATTAATTTCAGGAAAGTGTTGATTAATTTTTGAAAACCGGGATGAAGTTTGGGAAATTGTGATTATTATTATTTTTTTGAAATTGCAATTATTCATTTTTGGAAATTGTGATTGGTTTTGGGGACTTGCAATTCATTTCTGGAAATTGCGATTCATTTTTTGGGAAATTGCGATGAATTTATGGAAGAAAGTTTTTCAGAAGGAATTAGTGGAGGATAATAAGGCTAACAAAGAGTATAGGGCTTTTGGCCCATTACTATCTATACACACATAAACAAAAACAACACAACCTTGACAATATATAGAAATATAATTATAGTCTTAACAAAGATACAACATATTAAACCTATATTCAGCATTTATGCTCAGCAAGGCATTTGAATCGATAGATACCTCTCAGAAATTATTTTGCTCATATAATTGGAAAACGGAGACCAAATGGAAGTAAAACAGTCCTTTCACTCAAAAAGATGTGTCCTCACTACCTCTAGCTCTTTATCTCTTTTTTTCCATATCTATGTCTACATCTCTAGTCTTCAAAAGTGTTAGTGTTCTCAATTCTTAAAATCATGAGTTTCAGAAGAATCCATTGTCCTTATCTGAAATTAAATGCAGGCCATCCTATCACTCAATCCTCTAATCCTATCAAAGGATTTAAGGAGAACCTCAGCACAAACGCTGCTGCATCTTTT